CCTTGAAGGTGAGCAATTATTCTTCTCTTACTAAATAATTGTTAAATAAATAAGTCCATCAGCTTTTGTACCTTGGTCTGAGTTTCTGGGGGTCTTCTATAAAAAGATGTGGAGAGAGTTCCCAGAGTTAACATTCATGTCATTTTCCTCTAGAAAACCCCTTAAATATCTTAAGAGAAGCTAACTTCCCAATTTCATATGAAGCATTTTTTTTGTCCAAAGATAAAAAACTCCTTAACATGAAGATGTGATACAATAAATATACTAAATTAGGTTTTGCTGCAAACATGCATTGAAATGAATGCCTGCTTGGATCTTAAATGTTTTGATTTCCTATAAGTAGATACACACATGAACCATGGAAAAAAGGAGGAATCACGTGAATGAGAGGCTCGCTCCTTAAACGTCAAGGGTATAGGTCATTGTGTCATTTGTGCATCCCCAACACTCCTAGTGCACTTAAATGTAGTAGGCACACAATATCTGCACGCTGAACAAACTATTAAGTTAATTTTAACCCCTCAGGGATTTCTGTGGTGCTCTGGTCTATTTCCATCATTTTACAGAGGATGAAACTGAAGCCACATTATGACTACATATCTAATTGTTGTACACAGTCAAGACTATAACTCAGGATTCTTATCTGCCAGTAGAGAATTATTTCTGCAATTAAAAGAACAAATAGCATTTATTGAGCACTTACTATGTACCAGCTACTTCACATACATGATGTCATATCTTCAAGAAAAGCCTGCGAAAGACACACTATCCCCATATTTTAGTTGAGGAAGGTGAAGCTCCAAGAATTTAAATGTCTTGTTCAAGGCAGAATGTGGTAAGCAGGAGAGCTAACATTCAAACTCAAATTTGTCTGCTCCAAACCCACTGCCTTCCATGTCACACCACATTAACATTCATTAATAGCATAAAGCACCTATCAGAGAAGGAAATATGTGGGCTTGTTAGAGAAAGCTAAAATCGTTTATCATTTTACTTTATTAAAAAGTAAAAAATATGTTTAAATGTACAGTCAAAGCAAGTGTTTACATGCAACCTCTCTCCAAAATCAGGTTTGTAAGACACTTAGAAAAGGAATCTGTTCCTGAAGAACACCAGATCTGAGAGCTGAATGACGGCAGGTTACCTCGTGCTCAATGAATCACCAGGTGCGGATTCCATGTCTCACTAAAGATGAAGAGGTAGGCGGATAAGAGAACAACCAAATCACTACTTAAGGTAAAGAGTGCAATGTGACAGGCACGTGTTAAAACCCTTGCTTTTCTACAAGGAGATGGAGCGCCCAGCTAACACCGCACCCTCTTCCAGCATCATCTGACATCCACCCCAAGAGAGGATTATTTAAAATACTGACTCCAAGAGGTCTGAGCTCTTCTGTCCTACCTGAAAATCTTTAAGCCCAGCCATTCTGTGAGGTTTGGGTGCCAGCCCCTATTTGCCACTGACCTTTTGTACCATCTCAGTAACTCAGTTAGCTTCCAGAGCTTCAGGTTGCTTCTCTATGTAATGAGAATATCTACTTATAACATTTTTGTGAAAATTAAGTGAGATTACAGGACATAAGGCATCTACCCAAAACCTGACCCAAGTTGGGACTCAGTTTATTCACGAAGGTTGGATGGTAAATGTCATGTCCCAGAACAACGAAAGGCAAAGTGGTACACGGAAATCAACCAGACCATCGTGGTCTATACTAATGCAGCATTAAAGTATCATAATGGCAAAATAGAAGTAAAAGCCTCTGACACTATTTCCGGTAAGAAAAGGACAAGGCAGTGAACTGAAATACTCAAATTGACTCCAGCATAAAAATATGAATAATCAATATTAACACTTGCCACTCACCTATTACCTAACAAGGGTTTTATAAGGGTTAATAAGTGTGGCACTTTGAAATTTCTTGGAAATAAAGAATAAACACATGCCCCATCACACATGCATATATAGACAAATATATATTTTAACAAACTAAGGATTACTGTATAAATTTAGATCAGGGCACAGCATGCCTAGGATGAGTAGGGTAGGAACAATATGTTCTTGCTTACGACACCAAGCTCATGACAAATGATTCATACCCAGCACCTTTCATGCCAAAAGATCCCCCCAGGTGTTCCACCAACTCTAGCAACACTTTCCATCAAGCTAGACTGCAGTATAGAGGAATCACATCACTCCCACGGATGAGGCAAAACAGTCATGTCTTTACACAACTGCACAAGTCCAACAGTGGAGGGGGCAGGAAGAAGGGAAGGAGGCGAGAAAAACATCCAGAATTCCTCACAAGTTTGACAGGCAGCCTATAATTACCATACATTTACACCTTTAATGCGGGTTTTATTGTAATCAGAAACCCTACTTAACAAGACTTTTAGCTAAAGGTGAGACAGGGTCAGAGGATGTGTATTGCCTCTGGCCCTGAGTGGGTCAGGGGGTGGATTTACAGGGGTACTGACATCTAAATAGGAAGAAAATGAGAGCCCCACAGTGTTGCCCTCAGGTTTAAGTTAGTGGGTTTCTTGCTCTAGAAAGATGTGAAGTGCTGTAAGTTGAGAGTTCTAAACAGGTGTACTGTACTGTACTTGACAATCACAACACACTTATGTGCAACCTGGCACGTAATGAATTGGCACGGACCCCATTTTAAGGATGAGGAAATTCACACTCAGAGTGCAATCGACTTGCCAAGATCAAACCACAAATAAGCAGAACTAGAACTCAAGTCTCCACACAGCTTTTCACCTCACAGAGTTGCCCAGAAAAAGTTTTTCTGCCTTCCTTCCTTTAAAAACAAATGTTAAACTTTGTGTCTCCTATGAATCTGGGCCAGTTTTGTTTTGTGGGACCTGGATTAAGACGATAGCTCTCCCTCTGCCATCTGCATATATATGCTAAAAAAAAAAACAATTTGTGTGTAAACAGGCAGGGATGCGGGGGGGGGGGGGTTCCTTACAGAATTAAAAACTTCAAAGGGTAGAAATCTCACTAGCAACATGATCTGAATGCTCAAACCTTTCACATGCACTACCTTGATTATTTGCTACATTATCTCAGACATGCCTGCATGTTGCCCATCCAAGTCCTGACCCTAATAAGCCGGACTGTGCTTATAAGCATCATTTAAAAAATAAAAAAGGCTGGCAGTGATTGGCGCCATTTCTTAAATGGAGTTTAAAATTTGCCAAAGATGTACTCTCCGTTTCCAGCTCTTTCCAAGATCTTTCAAGAGATGAACTAAAGTAGAGGTCTAATGGGTGAGTGATATTTTACAGCTCGAATTACATTAAAAGCCAGAAATATTTTGAGTCCAATGTCTTTTACTTCTCGGTACAACCAGATACAATGTTTGATGTGTTTAAAATCTCCCCTTAAAGCCAGAAGCTTTGAGTTAATCACTTAAAGCAGTGTGAAAGTTATTCAATCAGTTTAAGAAGATTTGAGTTCAAATTGGGGGATTAATTTTAGCGGTTTTGATATGAAAGATATGATAGTTAAGGCAAGAAATGAGGGCAAGGGTCTCCAGAACTTGAATGGAAAGAATTTCAGCTTCAATTATTTGATTAAATCATTCCTGAGAACCATAGAAAACCATAGCCTCAGTCATGAGAGCTAAATTGTAGGGAAAACCCTGCTGATCCTCTCAGGACAGAGACATCAATGCAAAAAAAAACATTTATCATGGTTTGCCTTAATACAGTTTATATCTATATACCCAAAGAACCCATGATGACAGACTATTATTTTAAAACGTTCACAACTTTCGTTAAAAAGCTGACAATGAGCACAACTCACTAAAGTGGCACTTCCCTGGGAAGGTTTCTGGCAATGACATCACAACTGAAAACATTCTGAAAGGTACCAGGCTGCATAGACTGTACCTATTACAAATACTACACTCTCAATAACCCGATGGAAGCTGAAACTCTGATTTTTTTTTTAATTTTACCCATCCTTGGTTTTTATGTTCTTGTCTGCTTAATGGCAGCTCACAGAACTTTCCACACTTTTAAATCACCTTCACTTATTACCATCAAAGCTGGATCTTTACTATTTCAGCTCATTGAAGTTTTCTAGGTGCAGTTTAAGCTGGAATAGCTACCCCAGATTCCAGACATGCAGGCTTTTCCAAAAATCTAAAACCTCCCCTGACGTGGCCAATGCTCATGGACTTGCACCCACTCTCTCCAGCGTCAGCATGGGGAATCCAGCAATCCCCTGGTCCCTTCATAAAAGGAGGGCTAAGTCTTTATTTGTGCTCTTCTCTAGAGGAGGTCCGTCAATGGGGAAGAACAGGGAGTTGTTGTCACTGGGATATATCTGATCTTCCTGGGACTGATCATGCCGGAGAACAACCACTCATTCACAGGCTGGAAAGCCCCAGCTCTCAAAACACACTGGCTGGTGCTGTTAGAAGATGCTAGAGAGTTCCCGTCCTGAAACTTGCATCCACTTGGTCCCCAGAAACAGAGAATACATTAAGGGCACCTTAGTGTCCGCTGCATCTCTCTTCCCTTCTGGGGAAGAGGGGGTTAGAAGCTTTGCAGAAAAATAAGCTTACACATAAAGTCTTCTTGATCTTACTTGTGCTCACCCGTAAGTCTAGCAAGTAAAAGGAAAGTCACTTAAAGGAATGTCATCCTGCCTGGAAATTTAACCCATTCACCTCCACATTCAGAATACTTAACCCCCTCTGTTTGCCTGTCTTCAGCTCTGTTACTACACCAATGAGACCACGAAACAGGAAACAGGGATTTGCCTGCCCAGTTTGAAGCTTTTGGGGGGTTCTGAGAGGACTCTGATGGTGTCATGGGTCTCCTGATAGATGACATTAACTCCTAAGGGAGATGGGCAGGGAAGACTTTAGTTTGCAGCATCTCTCAAGTCCAGAAACCTCATTTCCTCCAAATTCTCCATCAGAACACAACATTCTGCTTTAACCCTTTCCATCTTTCACCCCTTGCCCTCAGTCCCCATCTACTCACGCTGCTGTTGTGGCCAGACCAGTGGACCATGGCTTGGTTGTGTGCGGAGTCTCCTGTCAGCGCGAACGTGGTGCTGGTCAGTCTCAGCTCCTCCATCCGGAAGCGAGTGGCTTTGTCCGGGTCCCGCTCCAGAGTCCCAGGCTCCTGCTGCCCTCCATCCCTTAGCACTCCCCGGGGGCTTCGACTCGCGCCCTCTCCCCTTTCTGCCTTCCTGGGATCCGCTTCACTCCGTCTCCGCCGGCCAGAGCGTGGGGCAACCGCCACCGACCCCCCGGTGCCAGGGGCCCGCTCCAGGGACAGCGCTCGGTCTCCGGGGGCCACTGCGAACAGGGGGCGCCCAAGGAGGGGCAGGGGCGTGGCAGCAGCTCTGCCTCGCGGCCTCTGGCGAAGGAAGCCCCCTGGGGTCGGAGCCCAGCGCGGGGCCGAGCCGGGGGATAGCTGGGGGTAGCAGGAGCCGCCGCCGCAGGCGCCCGGGACGCAGAGGGCCAAGAGCCCCGCGCCCGCGAGGAGCGCGCTCAGCCGGGCTGGGGAGCCGCCGCCGGCGCCAACTTTTCCCATCGCGGGAGCGGAGAGCAGGAGCGGAGAGGGGGCCGGAGCCGAGGCGGCTGCGCGGGGCTCTCCGCTGGCCGGCTGTTGGGGGGCAGGCGCTCAGGACCCCAACTCCATCCAAGTTGGGCCGCGGAGGGGGCGGGCGAAGGCGGCGCGGGGCAGGTGGCGGCCGCTTGCCCAGGCTGGGCTGGTGCCGAGCGTGGCTTCGGACCGAGCGAGCCGCCGCCACGCGGGGGTGGAGCTGAACTGAAGTCACGGGCGGAGCGGGCGCTGGCGCGCTGGCGGGCGACGCGGGAAGGGGGGGAGGGAGGGAGCTGCCGGGGCTCCGGGCGCCGCGTCCCGTTGCCGAGCTGCGCCGCGCGGGTGGCTGCGGAGACTGGATGCGTCGTCGGCCCTCCCCTTGGGCTCGCGGGCGCTGCCGCCGCCCGCTCTGCGCCCCCGCGGCCGCGGTCTCCGCTCTCCCTCCCGTGGGGGCGGCCAGCCGGAGCTCGCGGAGTGCTCGCTGTGTTGGGGACTTCCTATTCCTGTTTTACTGTTTCTGTCAGTCTCTGCTGCCGTTTTCTCCCCCGCACTCCACCCCCTCCTCGTCTCTTCCAGTTTAGATGATAAGGTTGGGTGGGCTCCTGGTCTTTCCCTCCTTCGTCTCCGCGAGTTGGCGTCTTGACGGTAGCTTAAGCAGAGCCTGAGTGTCCCAGCCTGGGGGAGATCCCAGGAAGGCAACTGCAGAGAATGATGTAATTAAATGATCGTGTGTGTGTGGTCTGGGGGGATTTTTTTTTTCCATAAATTATTACGCTTAGATTCCTTTCCGGACCTCCTAAAGCGCTCACTGTATTTGAATTCAATCTTCCTGCATTTTGTGGACATGTATCTTGGCTCCCCTAAGAAACCACAAACTCACTGAGGACAGGAATTGTGAGCAACTTGGAAGAAGTGGCCAGTTTATTTTGTTTGCTATTTTTATCCTCTGCTTGACACAGTGTCCTACGCGGTAGGAAATCTGTCAGTCTTTAATTGAATACATACGTATTGTGAGTCTATTCTACGTCCGTATGCACATAGATACAGGGAAAAAGACACGGTGCTATATTTATCCTATGTCTTTTGTGCCTAGCCCAGAGCTACTAGCCACATACCTGAAGATTCTTATCAGCAAACTTCACGGCTGTGCTGGATGCTCTGCCACAGCCTAGTTTGCTGTGGGGCCTCAGACGAAGTGGCAATCTCTCAGCTTCCTACACTTTAAAATTAAGCGGTTGCATCAGATGACCTTTAAAATTCCTTCCACTTCTAAAATTCTATAATTGTATGATTATAATGTCTGTCCATTCCAGCTCCCCTGCTACTGTTCAGAAGTTCAGATGAAGATTTATAGTAGGTGAATGGGCTTTGAAAATTACAAAGACTTTTCCCAAACCCAAGCCTTTTTCAAATGGAAAGTTTGCTTCTAAGGGTTGAAATACCTTCAAATTTTTTTGTAGTCTTCATGTGCCTAATAACACTTCCTTATCACATGGTAGCTATTAAATTATTCAAAGCATATTTACTGATTAAACAAATGAATGCCATGCAAATCTTCAGTTTCTAATTATATTTTTGTTCATTTTCACACTTGCAAAGGTAACCTTCCCAAAAAATCTAAATTGTGAGTTTGTGATAAGACCAACTTAAAAGTAGCGGTGATGATTATTCTTCAATTAATGATACTCTTTTTGATACTGTTCAAGAGGAAATTCTCTTATATCAGTCCAACCCAGAGCTGTGTTACACAAACAATTATTTAAATTCTTGTTCTTATGTCCAATCCAAGAAATATGTAAATGCAAGGAAGCTGACTTCTTAGCCTTTGAATGTAAGTACTAAAGACAGAGTGACCTGTTTGTTTTTAAGAGAGACACAGACTGTTCTTCCAGAAGCACCTCGACTACCCAAGCCTGGATCCTCCTAAAAAAGGAACATTGTCTGGCAGACTTCTAGATGGAGAGGAGAGCCAGAGGTCCTCCCTCCTCCCAAAACTGCAAATGTTCTTCCTTAAAACCCAGGGCAACTGTTTTCCTCTCCTGAGAAAGGTTTTCAGAGCTTTATGGGATTCTTTGCCTTATGTCTTCTTTCTATACCCTGCTAAACTCCTTTCCAGTCTGGATGAGTGTGTGAGATTTCCTCCAAGAGAGGAAAAACCAGATTAAAGAGTTAGAACCCGAATAAATTCCCATCCTAATATAGGACTGGAAAATGCAAAATGGAAAAAAGAAAGAAATTAGTGAATTCAAATTTTCTGGCCTTAGTCTATTATTGCCCTACCAAAATTTAGGTGGTTTTGATTTCAAAGTGAAGTTCCACCTGAAGAATTGGTAGAAAGAGAGCTGACTTTTCCTTCCCAAATCATTTACAACTCCCATCTTTTAAAACAGACCCATCACAATAATCCCTTTAAAATGAAATCATTTGCAATCCATTTGCTGAGAATTCATAGAGGGCAGGCGTTTTTTAAATGCCTGATTCTAATTATTCATTTGAGAAAAAGGTTACACAGATGTGGGTGAAATTGGCTCCAAGAATTGTTTTTTATATAAATTCATTTCATTTCTTATGTCTCTGATCCTTTGTCAACAAGCGGAAAAGGAAAGTACCAGTAGTTCCCTAAACCATTTTCTTTTCCTGGAAGACTTCAAGAAATGGCTTAATTATGGGGGAAAGTGGTCTAGCCTATTTCAAGGTATTTCCAATCCAACAACTCACTAAGCAACCCGACAGATTGTATTAATATACTGCATTAAGAATGGGTTATTACGAAAATAGTTGCTATCAAATGTCAGTAGAGAACTCTGTAATTCCAATAAGGAGTCTTTTCATTGTACATTGAAAGATACGCTCTGCTCCATCTTATCTCTGAAATAGTCATCTCCAAAGTGGGGCACAAGTATCCAAATAGTACCATAAGATAATTCATTGTGTGCAGGAAGAAAACAGCCTTGTTAATATTTAATTACCAATTAACATATATAAATGTATGTTTCTAACTATATACAGAGAGACAGAAAAAGAATATGAACATTTTGGAGCCATGTGCTAACTGGTGTTGCATGATCAAAAAGGTTCAGAGGACTTGCCCTCCCAAGCAGCAAAAATGGTCTTTGAAATGGATAAAAAAATATTATTCCTTGCCATTATTTGAAACTCTTCACTGACTTACCATTGCAAACAGAATAAAATCCCCATGGGATCCTTGCATGGCCAATTAGGCCTGCAAGAGGTGAGTGCTGCCTGTTCTTCAACTACTTTTGGCAGCTCTCTTTCCCCTCACCCATATGCTCCAGCCATTCTGGGCATCCTTTCCTCCCATGTGCCAAGTTTTTTTCAACTCATTCAGTTTTGCATATGCTGCCTGGAATCCCCATGACCACGCCTACTTCATATGGGTGACTCCTCTTCTTTGACATCTGTACTTTAAATGTACTTCCTTGGAGAAACTTTCTCAGACTCCCTACCCAACAAAAAAATCCCTTTCACATTTTCTGTGTCAGTCCCCTATTAGTTTCTTCTTAGCATATATGGTAGTCTTCAATTCTTTCATTTGAGTGGTTTTTGCTAAAACTCCCCACAAATCTACAAGTAGGTATGGATCACATCTCCTTTATTCATCTGTTGTTTCCCCAGTGCCTCCTTCAGTGCGTGACTCATTGGAAGGGCTCACTGAATAATGTTTGGCTGGCTGAGCCACACGGGTATAGCAGCCTCAGCTGCACAATGTCCAGTATTAACATTTTGTCAATTAGATGTGTACCCATGCCAGAAAACTTGCTAAGGATTTTACATGTATCCGCTCATTAGTTAATTAACTAATTAATTAATTATTTTAAGCAAAACTCAGCTAAGTATGATCATTGTTCCCACTTCACAGATCCCTTTCGAAACAATGCAGTCACACACCAATTTAGTGAAAGAGGAAGGCTTCAGTGTAGGCTTCTTATTCCTAGCATGTTCTTGACTTTATGCAATACTCCTTTTTCTCCCAATCCCACTAATAACAGATAATGTTTATTGGTGATTTATTTTGTGTCAGGCTCTACAATTAGCACTTTGAATAATTTCTAGTAATGTTGAACAAACAATTTTGAAAACAAGTTGTTTAGGTTGAAGGTGAAATTTGTGTTCTCCAGTTTACGTTCGCTTTTATTTGGTGGGGGTGGGGGTTAATATTAAAGACCGTGGTGTATTCACTACACACATGACCTTCCTGCACCAGTTATAGGAGTTGTCACATCGGTTTCCTCTCTTCCCCTTTCCCTAGGTCTCTCCATAGCTAGTGGATAACTTGGCTTCAGCTGCACTAAATCACATTATATGCTTCATCATTAGAACAATGTCTTTTAATAGCTCTGAAAATACTTGGCTCCCCTTGGATACCATTGAGACAAGGTGTCTTGCATTTCAGATCAATTACACGAGGAACCATAGGAAGAAAGTGAGGGAGAAGAATATGCAGACTCTTCTCATTACTGCTGAGGGGAGATGGGAGTTTTGCAAAACTGCCCTTTAAAATACTTTGAGGTATCAACAAATACTGGCCTGAGTCTGAATCCAGTAATTTTATCTCTTCTCATATACCCAATTTAAGTGGCTTTAATGCAAGGGCTTAAACTCTCTTATCTGTAAAAATAGGTCTAAGATTATCTACCTGACTCATAAGGATGTTGTAAAACTTAATTCAACTTCGTATACCTCTTGGAGATAACAATACAACTTCATATTTACGAAACTCTTATCTCATCAGACCTGTAAAGAGTTTTTGGGTTTTTTTCCCCTAGTTTAATAAATCTTGCAGCAGCTTCAAAAGGTAGGTAGGGGGCAGTTTTTGCCTGCATCATACAGAATAAAAAGAACTTTATCCAAGGTCATGGAGTTTGAGAAAAAGCTTAGCACTGAATTTTGTTATACTTCACTTCTACCATTTAGTCCAAATCTGCACCCAATTTATATATACATGAATTAAAATTCCCCGTTATTTT